ATGGAACCAATACTCCATGGCTATGGTGGTTTGTTCGGAGATGGAGGTTGGAGAAAAATTAATTTGGGTTTTTCATGGCTTAAAGTTATAAGGTCTTAAATTACAAATCAAAATTTTTATTTTCAAGATAGAATCTGATATCAACTTTGTTTCCGGTAAGTAATATAAAAAGTTAAAAATCATTTGTTCAACATTGTAAAAGTATAGTTTCCAAAACAGAGTAATAACATAGAATCAAAGGAAATCTAAAGCATAAATCCTCAACAATACGCGTATGGTACAATCAAGCTAGAGCCTTCCTTCTGACAGCAGAACTACCTGAAAACATTCAATCTACAACTGTAAGCACGAAGCTTAATGAGTTACCCAATATACTATATATCACATTACGTATGCGATGCATGCATACAAGGATCATAGTCAACACCTTAGTGGGCATATAGGCACATAACTATCATCCGAAAGACCTGAAGAACTTCTAACCGTAATTGCTTCATAGCCAACACCTCAGAGGGCCTATAAGCACATATCCATCATCCATAAGACCTATTGAGCTTCCAACTGTTCTCATAGTGGGTCTGAAGGCACATATCCAACTTCCCCTGGGTTCCAACATATATCACCAAGTAGACTAACGAACCTAAGCACACAATCGTACCCTAGCAATACCCATAAAACCTATCACACTAGACATACAACGTCACACATAATAATAATATAGTGAGAAAACCATCCAAATCAGAAAAATTGAAACACACACTCTTACATGAGTCCTCAAAGAATCAGCTACTACAAAAGTAAACCCATAATATATTGAAATTGTGAAGGGAGAGGTGATCGATTTGAGAGTCTTTCTAGGAATTGTTGTTTGATCGAACAAAAGGATGAGGGAAAAGTTTTCTTTCTTTCTTTTTTTTTTTAATTTTTTTTAATTTTTTTTTTTTTATAGTGAATTGAATGGTTATGAAGAAGATACCTGTACGTATGAGTGTGTAGGATGGGAGAGGTGGGGGTAGACGTAGGTTTTGAAAAAATAAATGGAGCTTTCACTTACTTTTATAATTATAATTAAAATAAGGTATAAGTGTCGATAGATATAAGTATTAGTGGAAGGATAAAAAGTGAACATGAAATTATCAACCCCCTTCTAATAAACTTAAAAATACTTATTTATACTTTAATAATGTAATTATACTTCTAAATACACATTTATACTTCTAAAAACGTATTATAAAAAATAAACCATATAAATAGGCAAAAAATCTGTATATTAAGAAATACCATTTAAAAATAACATATATACAATGTTTAATTAAACATTTTTTCGTGTATAAATATGTTTTTTCGTATTAATAGGTATAACATGAAAAAAACATACTTGAGATAAAAACGTAAAAGATTTGTAAACTTAAGTGTTATTTTGCGAATTTTATTTCATGGTAACATAGAAACTTGTCACCATAGGTTAAGGGGAAAAAGTAGGGAAAAACTTGCAAAGTTTCTGTTGCACCCAAAAGTGTTAGGGTATAACCGTATTTTTTTGACAAACGTAAATGCTTTTGTGTCAACATCCCAATAATGTATTATGACCGAGGTTCTAATTGGTGTGAGGCGTGACATGACGACAAAGTTAAACCTCAAACTATATAAACCATTATATTTTTCAAGACGTTACTTAAGACGACAACTTTGTATATATATAAAAGAAAAAAAATCACATAATTATAGATTTATATAAAATATATCAAGTTTTTACTTTAGAAGAGTTATAACACCTAATAACAACAAAACTCAATATTTTCATGCCCAATGTGGAAAAAAAAGAAAAAAAAACATGCATTGAAAAAAAATTCATGCCTTAGCGCGCCTTGATCCGCGTTGGCAGGCCCCACGCCTAACATCGCCGCCGCAAAGGTCTTCGAGACGTTTTACTCACGCTTTGCACAATGGAACGCCTTTGCACACCTTTTAGAACCATGATTATGACAATCTGCTATGCATCTCAATCGCATATAATACTAAACGAAATCCCACAACATCGATCAATAAGCCATCGCTCTCTTTTTTCGATTGAACAGTAAGAGCATTAAATTCGATATTTGACCAATGGGATGTTCGAATCCCGAACAACGAATGGAACATAAGCGGAGAACCATGCAGCGGAACAGCGCTCGGACCAGATTTCGACAAGGACAACGGCGTTGCACAAATCGAATGTAATTGTACCTTCGATAGCAACACCACTTGCCATATTACAAAATTGTAAGTCTTTCATCAACTTGAATCACTTTTCTGATTTAAGTTTATAAAAAAAAAGCAACCCCACTTGACCACTTGTATGCAGTGTCATTTGCACATGTAATTTCAAAGTACCCTATAAGGACTTTTTACATGTTTCTCTCTTCTGCAAATGCTTTTCCTTGAGATTTCTCATCTTCTTGTTTCCAGGAAAGTCAGTAAACTTAGCAGGAAAGGGATTATTCCTGATGAACTTACTGCTCTAACTTATCTTACTCATCTGTACGCATTTCTCTTTAAACTTTCAATAATTTTTTTTTTCAAATTTTTTTTTTCAGAATTATTAATAGTATCTTTCACTCGTGCAGGAAAATTGATCAGAATAACTTCACTGGTACCTTGCCTACATTCCTTGGAAATTTTTCTGCAATGGTGGTCTTGTAAGTGTAGCATGTTTATTTATGTAATATGATTACATTACCCTTTTTCTCTTAATAGTTTTTATTTATTTTTATTTTTATTTTGTCTGAACAGGTCACTTTCCCACAATCAATTCTCTGGTACAATACCCAAGGAGATTGGAAATCTTAAAGAACTAGATTTGCTGTGAGTGCCATTTAATATTGTACGCAAATTTAATGCAAGTTTTCTTAGTCAATATGTAATGCATTTATAATTCTTTTATTGTTTTCTAATACATTATAATTTTATTATAGGGCAATTAGTTCCAATAATTTTTCAGGCACTCTTCCCCCTGAACTTGGAAACCTAGTCAAAATGCAAAACCTGTACGTTTTTATTACAATATTTAAATTATACATAACATGACACAATATATATATATATATATATATATATATATATATATATATATATATATATCTGAATGGAAACTAAATCATGCAATTTTAATTTTCAAAAAATTTGCAGTTATATGGACAGTTGTGGTTGTGGTGGTGAGATTCCCTCCACATTTGCCAACCTCCGAGAATTGCGTCACATGTATTATTTATTTTTCTCTCCATTCATTAATCTCTTTACAGAATGTCATCGATTATTTACCTATCATAGCAAATGTACTTGCATTTTGCTATCAATATGGTCATTGTACTTTTTATATTAGAACTGTATGTATGATGTTAATATGAGTAAAGAATTATGACTACATTGCTATTATGTGTAAAGAAAATGTAACTACATATTGCTATTGTTGGTAAAAAAATATAAGTGTGTTGTTATTACGGGTAAAAAATAAAATATGTTGCCTATATATATTGGTAAAAAGAGTAAAGTATCTTGTTATTTCCTCCAAGTTGCCCTTTTTTTTTAGTTATTTGTTGGTTTTTCAGGTGGGCATCAGATAGCCCGTTTTCTGGAAAGATACCTGATTTTATAGGAAACTGGACAAAATTATTGAGACTGTGAGTAAGAATGGTTATATTTATATCACACAATTTTAAGCTACAAAAGTATCATTTACTTATTTGCATTTTTTTTTTCGATAATTTAGGAGACTTCAAGGGAATAATTTTGAAGGTCCTATACCAGCTTCTTTTTCAAAATTGACCTCGTTGACCTCTTTGTGAGTTGCAGTTTTTTTCTCTCCATCTTCATGATTCATTTAAAATACATGAATTATAATGAATCATATAGATATAACAATAATGTGAAATAAATGAATCATCACAATTCAATCATTCTTCCGTGAATCAGATAAACATAAAAGAATTTATTTCATCCTCATTGTCCAATGAATAATGCCTTATATTCACGATTCACTAACGCTCCTACTCCATAGTCTAATTTAACAACAGAAAGAAAGGAAGTGGGAAAATTATAAAAAGATCATTGCTCCTGAGTTTATTTATTGGAAAAAAGAGGAGAGAAAGGAAATGAAGATCATACTAATTAATCTTCCCTACAAACTATCCTCCCAAATTGGGAAGAACCGAAGAGAAAGGAAAAGAACTTGGGAGCAAAACGTAAAAATAAACAAATCATGATTCATTTAAAATAAAGGAATAATAAACGATTGATTTTAAATCATTACCGAATATTGGGTTTGTATATGGAAATATATCATGATGGTTTCTCACTTCACACCAAAATTTTAATCTCATTTGTCTATATAAATTGAATTACTTTTATACATGAAATTTTACAGGCGAATAAGTGATTTGCAGAATTTTAGTTCATCTCTTGACTTTATCACCAACTTGAGGAATCTAACTAACTTGTAAGAAGCTTGGATTTATTTGAGATGCAATGATATCTGCATATATTATTTCCTATAACTTATAAATTTATTTCAAATTACTAACATTTTTTTTAATGTTTCAACCAGAATTATAAGAAATGCATTAGTTTCCGGTCGTATTCCAACAGACATTAATCAACTGCACAACCTAGTTACATTGTAAGTTTTTATGCAAAACTCCAAGAGGCGTTTAATTTGGCTCCACATAATGTTTTGGAATGAATGGAATCTATCAAATGAATTGTAATCTACCACGTCTTTGTTTGGCATGAAATGGAATGAAATTCGATAATAATATATATATATTTTTTTGAATTTCAGTTTTAGTAATACTTTTTTATTTATTCAAAAAATATATAATGAAGGTAACAAGAAAGGAATAACAGAATTGAATTCCTTCCATATCTACGCCTAGTAACAGTGAAATCCTTCAAATATGAAGTTTGAAGCCATCTAACGGAATTAAATTCCATCCATTTGCTATCCAAATGTACACCTGATGGAATGGAGTCTAGAATTCCAATTCCTTTAGATTACTTGGAACCAAATACACTCTAATAAATAAGTTTACATAGTTCTATTTAAGGCAGGAGATAATTACAGTTCATGTTTTTTTGGTAGGGATTTAAGTTTCAACAATTTAAGTGGTCCACTTCCACAAACATTAATGAATTTGACTTCCCTCATTTCCTTGTAAGTTATCTTTAATGAATATAACTGTTAATTATTATTATTATTATTATTATTATTATTATTATTATTATTGTCTTATTGTGTTTGATATGGTCAGGTTTCTTGGAAATAATAGCTTGTCTGGTTCTCTTCTTCCTGAAAAAAGTGTGAAACTTCAGAATATGTAAGTTGATTAGTGATTACGGCTATTTCAACATGTTTACCATTTCAATTGATTTACATTTTCATTTTCTCGAATTAATAAAATTTATATTTCAGAGATTTGTCTTACAATGAACTTTCTGGATCTTTTCCTCTGTGGGTGATTCCGTCATTTGGATCGGTTAAGCCGCAATTGTACGTTTACTTCTTTGTTTTAATCTCACTTTTCTTCATTTTCGAAAATGACTTTTTATATTTTATTTTTATTTTATAATCCTATCAATTAATTATATATTGAAGTTTTTGCTTGTTATTTCAGGAATTTGGTGGCTAATAACTTTAAGTTTGACAGCACAAACATAAGGTAACCATTTAAATTCTCACTCTATAGTTGGCATAATTAATGTTGGAAGATGTCATATATAGCTAACTGTAAAGATTAACTTTCTTTTCATGGAACCAAAATAAACGGAGGTATAATTCCATGGTCTTGTAAGATTACTTGGGTTGGAACTTGCTTCAATCACAAGCAAAAAGAAACAAGTATGCAACAGGTAGAAGGAAAAAATGTAATGATGAAAGAATTGAAACAAAACAATTACTTGGTGAAAAGGAATAAACTGATAAATAAGTATCCTAATTGAAGTCTAAAGATATGCAGGAGATAAAAAAACTTAAACATGGCTACTTTCCTAAAATGTCCTTTATTTAAACTAGACAAAGCGAACTCCTAAAATAAAGAAACTGATTAATCCAACAATCACCTCTTAATCGGTTTGATCATACCACTCGTTCACAACAATGTTTGTAACATTTAACATGACTTTTATCCCGGACAAGTTCATTACCATCTCAACTCCTCTCGGACCCCCAACCTCTTCCCCGGCCACATCCAAAGTCATCCCGTGTTGAACCTCCATTACCACAATGCTTACAAACATGTGATTTTTCCTCACTAGCCAACATCAACCCACCTTGAGTGTCCTCAACTTTCTTGATTCCTCTTATACGGTCCTCATATGCCTTTAATCTACCAACGACTTCATCGAATAACATCGAATCCAACTCGAAACATTGCTCTATTGAAGCCATGATTTGAAGAAACGACTTAGGCATCGAATCAAGTAAGCTTTTCACCAAATCAATTTCTTTAAGCTCGTAACCAAGACTCCTTGCTTTTGAGGCTAAACCGAATAATTTCGTCACAAAATCATCGACCGTTTCACCCTCCTTCATGCGCAAACCTTCAACCTCACTCTTTAAGATTGCAAGCCGAGCCGTTCTCACCCGATCCACTCTCAAATATCCTAATTGAACTCTAGAGCTATGCAGGATATAAAAAACTTAAATATAGTTACTTTCCTAAAATGCCCTTTATTTAAACTAGACAAAACAAACTCCTAAAATAAGGAAACCGATTAATCCAAAAAGTCTTCTCCTTAGTCATATAGGGTTTATATAAAAAGAGATACTAACAATCTCGTTAATGAAGGGATTAGATTACAATAAATATGGTAAGTATACTAAACAATATATTAAAAAAATATTCCATTAACAGTCCCCCACAGTTTGAGCAAGATGAGGACGTACAGTCAAACCAGATCTACAATCACGAAATAGTTGGCATGTAAGAGATTTGTTGAAGATGTAAGCATACAGATAGACCGAAGGAATGTGTAAAACCCGAACATGACCCAAAACAATTTTTTCCCATACAGCTGAGACGTTGTCACACTATACTAGAGTAGCACGTCTTAAATGGTATAGAGCTCGAGTAGCAGGTTGCACAACCAACATGTTTCAACAACTACATTCACTACCCCTCGATATACGGCCTTGGCGCTTGAGCGAGAAAGAGTTTGTTGGAGTTTTACAGACCATGAGGTTATGACGTCACCCAAAAATATGTAGTAACCAAAAGTGGATTATCGTTTGTTAGGAAATATTCCCCGGTCTTCGTTAGTATAGAAAATAAGTTGTGTAGGTGCCAATAGTAGAGGTTGAGAACGTGATCAAAGGTACACTTAAGGTATTGTATGATGCGTTTTACACCGCTAAAGTGTGAAATGCGTGGAGAATACATAGACAAGCATATTTGTTGAACTTTGTATGCTATGTTTTGCATTGAAAAAGTACGATATTACAGTGCGTTTGCCAAGTTGCGATAAAGGGATGGGTCAGGTTTGCTAATGGAAGCACTTAGCTTCAAAGCAATGCCAACCAATATAACTGTCGGTTTGCAAAGTTCTAGGGAAACTCTTGTGACGATCTCTTCGAAATACTTACGTTGGGTTAGGAACATGCTTTTAGGTGAATGAGTTACCAAGATGCCAAAAAAATAGTAATAAGAAAGTTGTCCTAAATCAGTCGTTTTAAATTTGGATTTTCGTGTGCTGGTGATTTCTATCTTTAACTTTATTGATGAGGTCGTAAGAACAATGGCATCAACATAAAAAATGAGGCGTGCTATTTGTAAACCATGCCTGAAGATAAATAGTAAGGCATCACTCGTACTGCATGTGAAACCGATCTTTAGTAGGTTTTGAGAAACTGTTGATACCATGCTTGTAGGGCTTGTGTGAAGCTATAGAGTGATTTTCATAGTTTGTAGACACAACTAGGATATACGAGGTTAAAGAATCCCAATGGTTGGTGCATACATACGGTTTCCTTGAGGCTACCATGTAGAAATGCATTTTTTATGTCAAGTTGGTGAATTGGTCAGTTTCAGACCATAGCCAATCTTATAGTTCGTATAGTGGCGGATTGGACCACCTGGCTGAAAGTTTCATTACAATCTACTCCAACATATTACAATCTTCCATTCACCATTTTTTCTTTGTATCGTTTAAGAATGTCATCAATATGAAACATGTGCCAAAATAACCACAATGTGCCTAATGATATCAATGTCGGTGGGATTAGGAACCAACTCCTGTTTAAGCAGTTCATGTTTAGGCAATGCATTATATTCTATAGTGATGACATTCTTCCACTTTTGATCATATATGGTAAATTTATGATTGGCAGAGAAATGAGAGATGGTTTAGTATAAGGAGTAAAAAAGTAGTTAGGTTTGTGGATACCACTTTAGATCTTTTTTGCATAGGGTGAGATGCAGACGAAGGTAAAAGAGATGAGGGTGGATATTGGTTGTTATTTTGGTTTTGATGGGGATCGAGTGTGGAAGAGGATAAGATAGGTTGGGCTGATGACAAAGGAGGCTGGTGAGTGTGGAGAGAGGGATATTGGGCTATAACGACGAAGTGGGTTGGCTGTGGTGGGCCGGTTCTTGAGGTCTGTCAACAGTGGGGTGAGGATCGGTTGTTGTTTTAGACATTTTTGGAAAGTAAGTGAGGATAGTAGATGGTTCGGAGTAGTTAAGGAAGTTGTAAGACATAGTACGGTACTTAGAAATGTTGGAGAAAGGAATAGTGTTTTTGTGAAAGGTGAATGGATAAAGGTTATAGAAGTGTTATTCAAGATAATGTAGAAAAGATAGCCACAAAATTGGGAGGATACATGAAAATTATGCTAGGAATAAAGTTTGGTGAAAGCTTATGAGATTTGGTGGATGATATGTTTGGATAACATAAGCAATAAAAAGTTCGAAGGTGAGAGTATGTTGGGTGTCGATTGTAGAGTATATAGGTGGGTGTATTGTTGTCTATGGTGGTGGAAGGTATGATATTGATAATATATGTAGAGAAGGTGAGAGCAAAATTCAAAAAACTTGGAGAAAGAGAGCATGGAGAAGATTTGTTTGATCATGTTATTTATGGTGCGGCATAGGGTGAAAGTGGGTTCGAACACGAAAAACTCAGAAACCAGAATTCAAGGATGAGTAGATCCGAGAACTGGTTTGGTTCCGGGTATCATACCGGGTAAAGTGGGCATAGAACCAGTTGGAACCCAGATTTGGTACTTTTAACAAGTTTCGAGTTTTAGACCAATGGACATGGAAAACCCAAAATTTTGTTGTTTGAACTTTTGAATTGGCTTGCATGGTTGTTTGTATCATATGTGAAATAACTTGGGGCTGCTTGGTGTATTTTACGTCGTCATTAAACCAATAAACATGTTACACAGTACATATGTCATTGTATCACAACCATTTGCTTACACCGATAGATAATAGTTATAGTACATATATAATATTGTTAAACAGTACATGTTTCTAGCAACTATTTACTCATTTATTTTGATCGTTTATGTAATAAACAGATAATGAAAAAAAGTTAAGTCATCTTTTATGATCATGATATGCAATACTTGTTCGAGTAAGATCCACGAGTTTAATGTATCACTCCACACAATTTTATAGCTAAGAAAACGTTTTCTCATAACATACTGAAATGACAAAAACATGAATCAACGACAATCAATGATAACAATTTTGGTCCCATATTTACTTTAAAGAAACTTATGTTTTTCTCAAAACCAAAATTCAAGTCAAAAAAACATTAACCATATGATCAAATACCAACTAAACGAATATCATTTTACAAACCAATAACAATCTTAAAAAAAAACTAATACTATCTACCTACTCATTATTTTTTATGGGCGTTTTTCCATTTCCATTTTCATTTCCATTTCAGTTACGTATCGAGTCTGCCAACTCTAGTATACATAGGAAATAAAATTAATGTAAAAGTGAATGTATAACCAATGCTTTGTTATTAAATAATAATACGAATTTGTTACCTAGAGATGTCATCATCTTTAAATATGTATTCTATGTTGTCCGTATCTATAATTGGCTTCCTTGATTTTCTTATCTAATCTTAAGTGCAAACCAAAGTCTCTACTATAGGTGCAACCGGTAATGATCAAGTAAGCGACCGCTTGTACTAAAAGCCGGCTCGGATGCCATAGTAGAGATTTGAATGCCCAAAACATATAATACCATAAATATAAAAAATGTTAAATTAGGGATATCATTAAAATAATTTTAAAAAGAAACTTTTTAAGATGTCTTCAAGTTGCTAATAAACACATTTACTTTTTACAACGAAAACCAACATTTTTTTTATATGTTTACCTATCTTTTCAATTTTCAATTTTAGATTTTTGGCCCAAATTGTAAATTTTATTATGAATTTGGTTAGAACAATAAATTTTATTAAGAAATAATACAAATTTAGTTTAATTTACAAATTTATTTTTCTACAATATTTTTTGAAAATTTTTACCACCCTTTTTAAGATTTTTTTTCTTATTTTTTCCTTACTTTCTTTTTTCATACAGCTTTTATTTATTTATTTATTTTAAATAATCATTTCTAAAGCTTTTTTTACAACATTTTAAAATTGTTTCATACAATTTTAAACTTTTTTGATACTTTTTTATAACATTTGAAACTACTTTCATTAAAGATAAGTTGTATGAAAATATAAAAAAATGTTTAAAAAAAATGTTAAACAAGTTTAAAACATTATATTAAAAAGTTATAAAAATATTTATAAACTTTTAGTTAAAACATATACAAAAGATGTAATTTTTCTAATTTTTTTTCTTAATTTTCTTAATATTTCCATATAACTTTTTTGATAATTTTCATACAACCCTTCCTTTCTATTTTGTTTACGATATTTTTTAAAATGTTAAATAGATTTTTGTAACTTTTTATATTTTTTTATAACATTTAAAATACTTTCAACGAGATCAAACTCTCTCTTTCTCTCTCTCTCATCAACTTGGTAGGATGTTGTAAATAAGCGAAAGCGAATAAACCGACCGTACCGAATAAGACTTGTTTTAATTAGTTGGCTTATTCGATTTTCAGTTATACCAAATCCACTAACCATATTCAGTTTGGTTTATGATCTCTATTTGCACCATTCGGTTGAACCGAATAAACTGCTAAGATTTTAACATTTTTTTAATTTTTTCTATCTATAGTATTCATATCCCATAAAATATGTTTCTAATTATTCATATTACGATTAATGCCTTTATATTATTCAATCTGGTAGTTTTAGTATATCTATTTAGAAATAGAAGTTCGACGTTTCCTCATCCACATTACATAATTTTGTCTTATATTTTAGTAGTAACAATTGTTACTTCTTCAAATATACATTCATTAGTTTTATTAATCATAACTTATCACTCGTGACATTAACATTTACCAAAATTATCTGATGACCAAATAATACAAAGAAGGATAAATTGTTCAAAATCAACTGTGTTTTTATAAAAAATTGATTTTGATATGGTGTTATTTTCTATTACAATTTAGTCACTAAGTTTTTTAATTTTTGCAATGTAAGTATTTAATCGGTCAACACAGTTACCAGCGGTGTGACATGTTGAAATGTCTGTGTTTGGTGATGTGGGTGACATAACCCTATTTGGTTATGTGACATGATAACATGTCAAAAAACGTATTGTACATTACAATTGCATATTTAATGAAGAATATGGTTATAAATATCAATATTATGTATTTTTTACATAAAGTTACGATTTAAATGTAAACAACTTATATTTATACAAAAATGTCGTTTTTAAATGTAAAAAAAATATATTTACACGGTTTCCAATATAAAAAATTATTTATATGGTTTCAAATGCAAAATAATCAACATTGATCGAAGTTGATATAGGGATGTCAACGGGGGCAAACGGGGCGGAGAGTGCATCTCCCGCCCCCGCCCCCGCCCCTGAAATGTTCAACATTCCTACTCCCACCCCCACCCCCGAATCCCTTTATTACCCCCGCCCCCGCCCCCGCCCCGTTCCCCTGCCCCCGCTTGATTTTCGGCTGCCATTTTTTGGGCTAAAAGAAGTTATTATTTAGGCTAAAAGAAACTATTTTTTAGGTAACAAATAATTATTTATAGTAGAATTTTACATGTTAAAAATAAAAAAGTTATGGCATCTTAAAAATTTTATACTAACAATTTAAAAACATGTTTTTTGATGAATTTTGGAAGCTCAAAATCATGATATTTTTTATGATATTTATATAATTAATATATGTAAATATATGTGTAATTTATTAACGGGATCCACCCCCGCCCCCGCCCCCGATTTTTTTTAAAAATTTCCCCCAAACGGGACGGGGTCCCACGAGACTTTTTGACATCCCTAAGTTGATAAAACATAATGTTTGATTTGGAACAAAAAAATAAAGTGTCAAAATTGAAAAATAAAATAAAAACCTAGTGTTATAATTGAAAAAAAAGTGAAAACTTAAAATCTTTTGTGCCATTTTTTTTTTACAATTTTGAAACATCATCATATCACGCGAATGCCACATTGCCAAATAGTGCCATATCTATATGTCACGTCATTCGAGACTGACACGTTAGTAGACAACTGCGTTAACCGGTTAAGTGGTTAACATTGTAAAAATTTAAAACTCAATGACTAATTGTAATAAAAAGTAACGCTATCAAAATTAATTTTTAATAAAAACATAATGATTTTTGTACAATTTACCCTATAAATAATACTAAGTTTAACACTTATATCTATGTTTCTTACAAAGTATAGACTTGAAATGGTGATTTTAGTTATCTGGATTTAACCCCAAAGCAAACTAAATTCATCGAACTTTATTTGGTTCGGTTTCTGTTAATATTTTAGAAGCAAAAAAATCAATCAAGAGGAACCCAACAATAGTGTTTCTTTATGTTTTGTTTCCTTTTACAGTATCTTCCCAGGATTAGTTTGTCTTCAACGAGACTTTCCTTGCAATAGGAACACAACAACACCTTGTAAGTTGCTCATTGTTTCTTTTCACTAATCACAACTAAGACATTCTTATCTTGACTACTTTCTTACCAACTTATTTTATTAAAGTTATTGCTTGTGTTATACAAAACATCATTAGAAAGATAAGCAACCGTAACTTTCTGTTCACATTATTTCAATGATTTTTAATGGTATTTGTCGACACAAACAAATAGTTAGTTACCACTTGATGTTATTGTTTAGTAACACCAATATTTTGTAAAATTAAATAGGCAGTCGTTACCAATTTTGTGACGTAACCCATTTTATCGGTGAACCTGCTACTAATTAATAATCTTTATTTCTTGCTAAAGATTTCAGCTTTGCAATCAATTGTGGAGGTTCAGATGTCAAGTCCATGAATGGCATACAATTCGATGCTGAAAATGCTACATCACTTGGTCCCGCTTCCCATTTTATACAAGAAGAAAAATGGGCTGTGAGCAATGGGGGTATTGTTATTGATAGGATTAACAATGACCCTTCATTCATAGCATCCACAACAATCCAAGTCAACAACACAAAATACCCTGAGCTTTTCAGAACTTCAAGAAAGTCTCCAGGGTCCCTTAGATACTATGGTTTAGGGCTTCAAAATGGTCCTTATACTATAACCTTATTCTTTGCTGAAACTGTCTTCAATTTAAGCACGAGCGTCTGGAAGGGTCATCCCAGGCGTCTCTTTGATATTTACATCCAGGTTAGTACCACAGTGCTAAAAAACATTTTTTTAAATATAAAAAGTTTAAAAAACAGAAATACCTCCAAAAAGACCACGTTTTTTATGCGTCAGTTAAATGGGTTAATCACAATATGCCAAAATGGGAGGGATCAATACACAGCGACCAAATTTTGAATACATAGAACAAAATAACTACTAATTTTGCTAAATAAACTTTGCAAAACTACTTCTTTTTTCCTTCTGAAATGCTATTTTTTGGTTTTTAGGAATTGTTACGTGATGTGGTTTTACAAAAAAAAAAAAAAAAAAAAAAATCACCATTTCATTAAAAAGGACTTGTTTCTGCTAGATTTTATTGTTAATGTATATATATAGATATATATATATATATATATATATATATATATATATATATATATATATATATATATATATATATATATATGTTGGAATCTCCTCTCCACAATGACTGCTCTTTTGGATAGACAATCTTAGACTCCGCATATATCTCATATTTATAAGCATGGTTAATGAAAGAAACACAAAAAACAAGAAACGAGACACATTGTTCTTTTCAATATGGCTTAAAATCTAGTTTCACCTTCTAACTCTATTTATAAATTGAAGTAAGAAAGTCTCTCACATATTTTGATTTCATAAAGTAATATAGCTTTTAATAATGAAACAAGTGGCCTTAAATCTTAATAGGGTAGCATTTGCATGTGTGTTTTGGTTGAATCATTTGCTTCAAATCTTGTGAATATTTGTGAATTACCATTGCCAAAATGCGAAGGAGACATTTGGTTTGCAAAATGTAATTTTAGAAGGAATGAAATTTGGTTTCAAACAAACTGAGATGTGAAGGGATTGCAATATATCATGAGTTTGGTTTTCAGGAAATACAATGGAGCTCAACCATAAACATTGACGGATTTTTAAATATTCACTTGCCAAACACAATTAAAATTTTCTATTAAGTCAAATGGACCGAATCTTAGTTATCATCATACAATGAGTGACAAACGGGTAACAAGTTGCGCCGCTAAGCTTTTTTATATGGTAATGACAATTCTTTTGAAGACCACATCCATAGATCTAGGGGATATAACATTGCTATGCATGATCCATTGTACTCTATTAAGAAGCTCCACTGCATCCGACACGAGGAAACCAAACTTATCAAATGCAAATGGTATGAACACGTGTTGATTTTTTCATACACGAGTTCTTATGTTTGGTGACTTTGCCTGTAGCGGCTTTTAAAGCAGCCTGTCCTGCCGTGAAACCCCCAGCCCTCAAGCCCACAGAAGGGGATACCCCTGTAAGATCCACACATGCATGTTTCCCTCTAACCTACCAAAAAATCAAAACGTCAGCCGGTCTAAGAGTTGACATTCCTTTTGCTGGGTCAGTCAAGAAATTCATAGGTGCCACTTTCTTGGCGAAGATCCCGACACACTTAATTATCAAACAAAACATCTCTAACCATATCGTGCCTGTATTTGAACCTCGGAAGTTCTTTACAGTGAACTGCATGCTCTCCAAAAGAGTCCAAACATGCCTTGCGACACACCAGACATATCTCGTCAGCTGGAAATAGTGTGATCATGAGTCGATATTTGAGGATAGTACGATACTCCACAAGAGACATATGTTGGCCAAGTCCATCTATAAGGGTAGGTAGAAGAAAATCTTGAGCATATGGTGCACGTAAGCACTGGAAAACTGCTTTCTGCCGAACTATCATGTCGAGATGCACTTCCATATCTTGGACAATTTTACGAAAAATGACACTCGCCAGTGTATTATGGGATTTAGGAGGGCGGTGTCTTTAGTAGTAAAAGGGCTAAGGTCAATATCTGGAAGCTTGTTACGAAGAGAAGCCACAACACAATCATAATCAGAATCCATACCATATATGATGCTATCCCGTAAGATGTGGTCTTGCAATACCCAAGACTGGGCCCTTGAGGCAACAAAAGCATATGAGGTTGCCTCTATTGCCGAGTATAAATCCAAACCACCAAACCTAATGGGTAGGGTAGCAATTCGCCACTGTATGTCGCCAAAGAAAGGGCTACCACAAACTACAATGTCCTCAATTGTCCCACACAACCCATTGTCAAAGAAAAACGCCGCTTCCTACATGTGAACGAGTTGTCACGTCCTCAGCCCAAATTTTTTTAACGCTATTATATTCGAATATATATAACGAGTGTATCCAACACAATTAAATTGCGTCCAAATAGCAACTAAACACAAGATGGAATGGAATCACAAGTTCCAATTCCTTTCGATTCCCTAAGAATCCACAAACCCAAGCACATCCTAATTTTCTTCTTTCCTGTTCTCTCCAGGGAAATCGCCGACAAAAGGACTTTGATATATCAAAGGAGGCAGGTGGTGCTGGAATAGCTCTAGAAAAGAATTTTGATGTTACAGTGATACAAAATCATATTGAAATCCATCTTTTTTGGGCTGGAAAGGGGACTTGCTGTATACCTGAAGAGGGAGATTATGGTCCTTTAATTTCTGCAATCAGAGTTACTCCTGGTAAAAATCATGGAATGATACATATTCTTTTCTTTCATTTCGATTCTAATGATATCTGATTTTTTTTTTAAAATTAGGTTTCAAAGTGAAGGGTAATTCAAATAATACTGGAATGATAATTGGTATCATAGCTGGGGTGGGATCTGTCTGCCTTATTATCTTAGTTTTTTGTTTATACTTGAAAAGAAGAAGGTCGGAACATGGAGAAGAAGAAGGTAACCATTATATTGATTATTACTTAAAAGCAATTGAAGAGGGAATGAAATCGATGATCAACCATGAAAATGAAAATCCTGTTTGGTTGTCATAAAGGAATGGAACAGAGCATTCCTGACGGAATGTGATTCCTTCTCGTGGTTGACTTCCATTCTGTATAGGCAGGGTGCTTTCTTTATTTATTAGTGAAATGAAATGTTATATATTATAACTATAAATTTTATTTATTTATATAATCTTCGATAACAATGATATACTTTTTGTTTTCAAAAACTTCAGTTAAATTATTTTTTTTCTTTTGTTATTTTCTAATAATAACTATAAATATCTTTTAATATTTCATGGTATTTAAACTTATGGTACTGATCCGTACACAACAATTTTTAACCGTACACAACAATTTGTGTTTTATATGTTTGTAACGTACAACTCTATAAATCACAAATTGTTGTGTATGACCTAAATTTATTATATACGGATCACTACCCTTAAACTTATATAAGCTTTTATTTTTGCAAAGAGATTTTTGAAGTGATAAACAATTTTTTTTTAAATATGTTTATATATTGTCTGAAATATGTTTTTAATGCAATTTATTTAGTTATATATCTTATTTGATTAAAGTTCATTTTTATGAAATAACATTTTTTTAAATTTAATTATCAATTTAATTTCATTTAGTAACATAACAAAAAACATGTTTGAACGACTCACCATGTTCCTTCAAACCAACAAGACATGATAATGAAATGTATTGATCCATTCTATTGGCTTGCTCATTCCATTCCATCGCACAAACATACCCATTCTATGCAATCATTTATATATTCTAGTCATTTTATCTTTATTTTTTTATTAAATTTTGCCAGATATTTTTGGAATGGGGCCCAAAATAAATACTTACACCTATGCGGAACTGAGAACTGCAACTGCAGATTTCAGTCGTTCAAATAAGCTTGGCGAGGGCGGTTTTGGACCTGTTTACAAGGTTTGATCCACACCATAATTTCTATTAAGTTTTGTCAATAATTGCTAGTAAATTTTTTGTTAAAAAAGATAATGAGGTTTATTATTATTATTATGTCACAGGGGATATTAAATGATGGAAATATAGTAGCTGTGAAGCAACTATCAGTAGCATCCCACCATGGAAGGAGCCAATTTATAACTGAAGTTTCAACCATTTCATCTGTCCAACACTGTAATCTTGTGAAGTTACATGGTTCTTGTATTGAAGGAGCTAGAAGACTTCTTGTTTATGAGTACCTTGAGAATAAAAGCCTTGATCAAGCACTCTTTGGTATGGAAAAATCTTTATATGCCTTTTATTATCTTTTACTGATAATATCTCACATTCTTTGAACAAAAAAAAAAAAAAAAAACAAATTATGAAAAATTACAACTGATCCCGTGTGTTAGTACATGTTCTTTTTTGATGAAATGGACTTAATATGGACACGACTGATTTCGGTAAAATATGTTGTTAAAAAGAAATAAAGTATGTTGCTGTTCTTGCAATTTCCCCTCTTTATGGCTTAGTGCATGCAAAGCGACTTAAATGAGTTAAGTTAGAGAAATGTTGGTTTATCCATTCAAATGTTTCCTTTTATGTCAAACGAAGGGTAAAATGATCATTTACTCACATCACTTTACCAATTTGGAGAAATGTAGGTTTAACCATTTGTTATTTAGCATCACTTCTAAAAAGAAGGTGTTAGCGTTGAATAACTTCAACAAACAATTTAATGATTTCACACCAAGTTATAATGCAAACAAAAAACAAGAACACAATCAATTTACATAGTTCACATGTTCAGAATGATTGACTCTATTCAACGAAGAACACACAAGAGAGAGATTTTATTATTTCTGTTGAATGCTTGTTACACTTAGGTTACAAGAATTAGCCGACGAAAATTGTTTCCTGGGCATTGCATTCAACTAGTTCATTTAGTTCAAAAAAGAAAGTCTTTTTTATGTAGAACACCGACTCCGAACAAACATCATTTATCCAAACAACACTTATGACCTGTTTTCTTTTTTCCGCATGCATATTATATGATGTATAGATAACTTATTTATGCATCCAAGAAATCCTTAATGAAAAAAGATTGCTTCTTTTTATTTTTCATTGAACGAACTATCTAAATGAGAGTGAATACCAATTTACCATCTTATGTATATATTACATTTTAAAATACTTAAATAAAAACATTTGATATAAATACCAATACAATTAGATATCAAATCTAAATCTTACCATGTTGATATCTTATAGGGAAAACCGATGTCCGCCTTGATTGGCCAACACGTTTTAATATATGTTTAGGAACAGCAAAAGGATTGGCTTATCTTCATGAAGAATCAAGGCCTAGAGTTGTGCATCGTGATGTGAAAGCAAGTAATATCTTACTTGATGCTGAATTATGCCCTAAAATATCAGATTTTGGATTAGCAAAACTATACGATGATAAAAAAACCCACATCAGTACCCGGGTCGCAGGAACTATGTGAGTTCTTTCTTAAACACATTTTAGTATTTTTATTTACTGACGCCCTAATTGTTTTTATTTCTTTATTCTACATAGTGGCTATCTTGCACCGGAGTATGCAATGCGTGGGCATTTAACATCAAAAGCTGATGTTTTTGGATTTGGAGTTGTTTGTCTTGAGATTGTTAGTGGGAGGCCGAATTATAAGGAGAAACTGGATCCCGAACAGAAATATCTTCTACAATGGGTAAGATGAAAATAAATTGTTTAGGTAGTGTTTGGTAAGATGGAATTGAGGAAGGAATGGAATCGTTCATTCGATAGGATGAAAATGAAAAAAACTTATTTGTTTTGCAAGATGGAATGGAATGGAGCAAATCCTAAGGAATGTGATTCCTTCAATTTTGTTAATTAGGAGATGTTTTTTGTTGATTTCATATGGAGTGGAATAAAAAACCTGAAATACAACCCTATTTATATATGTACTTTTTAATGGCATAATCTTTTCAATTTTTTTTCATCATCTTAATTAAATTACAATAAAGTGTTTTTTTATTATAACATTTTGTGGTTTTCATATGCTTTTATTATGTTTTACTTTTTAATATTGTAAATAAAAATTCGTTAACTATTATTAAACTAATGTACATAATAGAGTCAAATTGTATATTGTGTTTAGACTTACGAAAGTTCATTCCATTTCAAAGGAGAGGGTAATGGAAAAAAGCAAAGTTAATTAAAAGAACAAGTTAATGGAATGAGTTTTTCATATTATATATAGTTAATGTATAGTTTCAACTGTACTCCATATATTTAATTATAATTTATGCACTTTTTTCCACACAAAAAAATGAAAATAATAAAAGTTCATCAAAACCTAAATAAGAAAGAATATGATATAAATAATACTATTAGTTACATTTACAAAAACAAAATGATAATTTAATTAAAACTATAAAATATTAAAAAAAACATTGTGTCGCTAAGGTTTACATATTTTTATGGTTTACGCAAATTTTCATTCTATTCCATAGCGAAACATAAAGAAGACCCCTTGGCTAATTAGATAAATGGAAAGAAACAAATTCATCCATTCTAATGGAATTCAATTCTATCAACAAGTCCATTCCTTACATAATAACCAAATGACTTATAATGTTTCCAGGCATGGACGCTATACGAAAGAAACCAAACTCTAGACCTCGTAGACCCATCTTTGACATCATTTGATGAGCAACAAGCTATTCGTATGATAGGAATCGCCCTCATGTGTGTTCAAGCATCACCATCATTAAGACCTGCAATGTCACGTGTAATCTCAATGCTTTCAGGGGATATTATCATCAGTCCAGTCACAACAAAACCAAGTTACTTAACCGATTGGGATTTCAATGACACCACCGACACTTTTTATGATGAAGAACCAATTTCGTCTGAAACTGCAACCATAGCAACAAATACAACTACATCAATGGGTATTGAGTCGAATCCATCACCTATAATGTCGGAGCTATTGAACAATGGGAGTTGTAAGAGATGAAACACGACATAATCTTCAGATAATGGTAACTTGTACATTCATTCTACATTTTCATCAATGTTATTTTTTTTTTAATTTTTCTAATAGTAAGGATACATGTTTTTTTTTAACCTTGTAACGTATTCAAGTGTTGTAATTAGTAGAGTGAGGTGAAGAAGCAAGTATTCAATGATTATGGGAACATAGAAGATTAAAAGATCGGATGGGTAGTGTGGGTAGAGGTGAAGAAAGAAGTGATTAAAAGATCAAATCAAATCAAAATATATAATAAACATGTATTTAGTCGTTTTGTATTAATTCATAGTAAATTACTTTTCTGTTATGTTTGATTAGCATGGTTAACGAAAAAAAAGAACTAAACTAATGGTTTTTTTAAGTCAAAAATTAATGTTTTGGTTGAGTTTCGGTTTTAGTCAAAAATTGAACTGAATCGTGCTCCACCCGAAGGTTAGATTGCAATTTTAGATATTCCTTTTACATTTCTTTATATATGCCTTAAAATTCATTTTCATGTTCTAAATCCTTTAAAAATTGTAGTTATAAAATCTTATTTATGAAGGTCTTTTTTTTTTTAAATTTTATTTAATGTTTTTTATTTTAATTTTTGTTCTTTTTTAGGACATGATTTATTAAAAAAACTAGCCAAAAACCAACCAAAATATCAAGTAACAACTAATTGAAGATTTTGAACCAACCCACTCAGTTAATAGCTTTCTTAGACTTAGCATTACACCACATAAAAGAGTTAATAGCTTTCTTAGACCTAGCATTATACCACATAAAAGACCAAGTGACAAAATTATCAAAAAAACGCACCCCACTCGGCTTTGAAGAAGCAAAAAGCGAGCATTCCTGAAGCTCCACAAGTGCCACCAAGAGGAAAAGAAAACACCTTCCAAAAAAAAATTCACAACCCCCGAAAGCCGAAGAGAATTGAACCAAGCAAGCCAATCCAGATAAGCAAAAATAGGAATCACATCTAGCTTGCACCTTTGGATCCGGAAATCAACCGCTAAAGAGCAAGAAAAGAACATATGACTAGCATTTTCGATATCAACCTCACAAAAAGAACAATGCAGTGAGGGAATATCCACACCCTAACAATCTAGGCGTGTCATGCTAACACATTAACCTTAATAGACATTAACCTACACCATTCCTTAAGAGTCAGAGACAATGTGGTCAACAAAAGCTTCTCATTAATCAGAACGAGCCATAGCTACAGAAAACTCGCCATAACCAACTAACGACCAACATGACCTATAAGAAGTAGTACCAACAGCAGAAGAAAGATTTACTGAAGCAATCATATCCACAAAAACAACCCTTTGAAGGGTTTCGACTCCACCTCCAGGAACCCTATCAAAAGACTCCAACAAGGAAGCATGAACCATCTTATCATTAATAATAATTTGCTTATCGTTTTCCAAATTAAGACATCTAGGAAATTGACTTTTAAAGAGGAACCTCCTAATCAAGAATCATCCTAGAAAGAGGTTAAGGAAACATCCTTAACACTCTTATTACGATATTGTAAAAGATCGGCCCTTTTGTCACGTAAATGATAAACCACCTTTAAAATGTTAACCCAAATAGAACTTCTACCAAGAGGCAGTTGACTCCCAATATAGACATTTTCCCCGTGAATGAACTTAGCAACTCTAGCCCAATGACTATTAGAATAAGTAACATCCCCGAAAATTCGACAAATTTAAAACTTTCAAAAACAACCCTTTTACTAATAGAAGTGTTACAAAACCATTGTTTTCAAAACATTATTCAAAATCGGAGTCTCCCAAGATCCAATCAGTTGTAAAACCAAGGATGTGTACGGTCACGCCTTCTCCTTGCCACGGTCCACTGAAGTACCTGAAACCATAAACCAAAACTGTAAGCACGAAGCTTAGTGAGTTCCTTCAAAATACCACCACACAAAATATAAAATATACAAACTAGCATGCTCAAATACTCATGCCTGACCCAATTAGCCTCGGGCTGGAATACCAGACATGTCTACGATGGGCCCAGTCATCCTCCAGATGGATTACCCTCACATCATAATAGTTTGGTCCAATCAACCATCGGGTGGGAATACCAAACATGTCGGGTCCAATCAACCATCGGGTTGGAATACCCCAGGCCTATTGATTGATGCACAAAGCAGTCCAGTCTCACCACATACCATGCTATCATATTGGGTCCAATCAACCACCAGGTTGGAATACTCCAGGCCCAATCAACCATCGGTTTGGAATGTCAATGTACAACGGGTCCAATCATCCTCAGGATGGAATACCCTCGAGCCCAATCAACTATCGGGTTGGAGTGCCCCCAGTTTGTTGGCTCACACACATAGCAGTAAAACCTCAACCACTAACTAACATATAACCAGTCAACAGACAATCAAACAGATCGATCACTAAACTTAACATCATCCTATATAACAGGATACAAATCTAACAAATCACTACAACATACCAACATACGATAAACCAGGATAACAATCCAATGGGCCGGCCTTGGTGCCTTCGACCTTAAAGTACAGTGAGGAAAACTCACCTCTCGATCTGATCCATAGCTGATGAGGTCCTGACTCCGAATCTTAGCTCCAAATGTAACGACCCAAAAATCAGGGGTAAAAATTTCATTTTTTCATTATAGTCAAACACAAATGCTACTTCATCCAATCATTCAAAAACATTGCTTAATTAAAAACATTTATCAGAGTTACGTCCCAAAAATCACATAATGCGGAAAACACGGGTGTGTGCGCTGCGATCAAGCCGGACCCTTCCTTTTCAAACCAATGATACCTGATGTCACACCCCCAAACCAAGGATGGCGGAAACGTCCGAGGGTGGAGGACTTCATGTATAGTATCACAACAACGAGTATAATAGTGCCCAAAGTAAATACAACCATCATAAATATAATTAAAAAAGTTATACAATAGTATGTGTTTACATGTTTTCCAATCAATTACACTTATGATGACAAAAATGAAATGTTTGACGATTTAACGTCCCATCCTCAAAAGCGGTTGATTTCCTGTTTCACTGAATTCCTGAGAATACAAGTAGTTTAAAAAAGCGTCAACAATTAAGTTGGTGAGTTCATAAGAGTTTTGTTTGAGAAAGAAACCGTTTTCCTTGTAAAAGCGACAAAGTATGTTTGCAGAAAACCCAATATTTTCTTTATTATGTGTGAAATGAATGCTTCTATGTTATGCGATAATGAACCCTAGAAGGACCCATAGATTCCTTCTATAATCGCCCAACGTATATAAGTTATATAAAATTTAAGTTAAATAAACCGTTGAATATAATGGGTCTGCCCTAGGTCCACAACCAAACAAGGAACAGGAGATGAGGCGGGCCCACCAATTCTAAGTCGATTGTGACTAAATTCTTATATAACTCTATCATATACACTTAGCAATTATAGCTCAAGTCTAATAATTCTAGCTATATGTAGTTTTAATAGAAATATGTTCCAAAGAAAATCCTATATTTTCCTTATAAAAGTTATGTAGTCCTAAATCCCAAGACCGAAAATAAACAAGTATTTTTCCATACTTAAAGATATAAAAGTGATTTTAAATCGGCATAAAACCCTTTTTGATTTGAGAAAAATCCCGTAAACTTTATGTGTTATGTGTTGTCTTAAATCCTAAGGCCGAAAGTATACAGTAATTTCCATATTTAAAGTAATTCCTATGAGTTAAATCGACATAACTCACTAATTTAAAAGTAAAACCCGTAAATCTTATGATTTGTTAATACCACATGTGAGCTATTATAACCATGCTAAGACTCATACGGCCTCGTAATACGACGTTTTTCAGGCGTCGCAAGTTAAATGACACTTGTCACCTCAGACCTGCCGGTCTAGCTGTTGCATGCAGCTCAGGTGCGGGCTTGTCAGACCCAATATAGATCTATACACAACTATCACGCTCTCCCTACAAGAGACTCTGGTTACAATTTACATGACTTTTGACTTTGTTACTATGAAGGTAACACGAAGCGAATGTCTCACAAATTTATTCATTAACAGATTTACGTGAACTGAACTGAAAACCTTTGGTAAATGAGTTTGAAATGTAAATGATACATAAACTATACCTATTATAGTTTATCCAAAACGTTTGTAATGTAAAAGAACCCCTTTTATGAAAATACATTGGTGCTATGAGTACATAAACTATTACTATTATTTAATATATGAAAAACCCATTTGTTTTGAGAGTAAAACCTTTCTCATGTAGTAAAAATCCATAAACTATGCTTATTATAGCTTATTATATGTGTTCGAAATGAATGAAAAATCCTTATCATAAATGACTAAATTTTCAGTTTATGATGATAAACTAACAAGAATATACATTCAATATTTAGAACTTATTGTTATACACTTTGCTCAACATAATACAAAGTGTTATGAAAGTTATAAGCTGTTAACTAGTGTTTAACCTTTCTGCACTGTCTTAGAAAAATCATATAAAAATCATACAAAGTTGAAAACTAAATCCGTAAATTCTGAGAGTTCATAAAATGTGTCTAGTTTATTTATAATTTTTATTATGATTTTTGGAAGTCTTTAACTTGTGTTAAAGTGTTCATATTCACAGACTGGTCCGAATTCGTTTCTGAAATGATAGACAGTTTTGTAAAAATCACCATAAATCGTATGGAGATGTGCAAGTAGTCATTTTAAAGGTATGAACCTGAGCGATTTTCATATTAAACAGTTTTGAAAGATATTGAGTTTAAGATAGTCAAAACAGTCCATGAATAAGACTCAACTTTTCTGATGAAAGCTGTTGTTTGAGTTTAGTTAAGTTTTTGGTGTTTTAACTTGTATTCCCCCCCTTAAAACTTAAGAAAAGCATGAAAAGATAGGGGTATGAACTCACCTTGAGTGATTCCTTGAAGGATGAAAGGTTGAAGATGATGAGTTTCAAGTCTAGATCACTTGATGAACACACGAAGTTTTGGATG